GGGGGGGGGGGGGGCAAAAATTTTAGCCCATAAAAAATATTTTTTTGTATATGCATATTACATACATATAATAAACATATTATATATACTTTTTGACTAGCGAATTTAATTATTTTTGATCGATCGGCCAATTTTGTATTTTACGCTTATTTTGAGTGGGGGATATAAATTTCGATTAGCTCAAAATACTTTAGAATGTTTTTTCCAATTTCACCATAACTTTGAAGGTGCTCAGCCATAACAAACTAAAAGAAAACAAAAAGACCAATTGGCGAAGTAAGTAATGCCTTTTTTTCTTCTCTCTTTTTTTCACTATCAAGGAATGTAATGGAATGTAAAGGTCTTGACTTCGAGCTTTGGAAATGATCTTTTTTTTTTTTGGAAGAGAGACTTAACTGAGTCATACGCGGCCCAAATCATAATTAATCATGCTAATATATATGCGTGATTTTAATTTATATACACTAAATATATAAGACAAGAAGAGATAACAAAAGCACTTTGGAGGATTAGCACCAACGCATTTTCAAGTTCTAAGAGTAATATACATGCGTGCATTTAACTTATATACACTAAAATGGTAAAAGATTTTATATTATTAAAGTACTTTAACTAGTTATAGCTAAAATATAATTAACATTACTTTTTAAGTTAGTAATTTGACTTATTATGAATAATTCTTTTATTAGAAGTAAAAATAAAAAATAGCTATATTTACAACCAAACAAAAACACTGTTAAAAATTCAGAAATATTCCGGAATAATATGCTGGAGTTCAAATTTTTTACATATGAACTTCCATCAGAATGTGCTGGAATTTCATAATATGGTGGAGACGTGGAGTTCCAACATAATATGCGGGAAGTTTATATGCAGGAGCTTATAATCTAGCATATTATGCTGAAACTTTCTGTGTGCTGGAGTTCCAACATATATAATATACTGAAAGTTATACGTATGAGCTCCATAACCCCGCATATAATGCTGGAACTTTCCGTATTTTTTTGCAAAACAATGGCTATTTTTCTATGACTTTGCAAACACCAGCTATTTTTTATTTATTAAAAGTCCGAAATCTGTCTAGCTCGTTCTACTTTCACTTTGTTATGTAACCTGATAGTATAACTTTTTTTAAGACTATTAAAGTTTGCATGTATTTGTAGAGCTTATGCTTACAATGTTGTATACGTATAATAAAGAAACCTTAGACCTGACCCACAATAAAAACTACAGCTATTATCCCTACCCTAGAAGAATAAAAAGAAAGAAAAAGAAGAGGCAAAGGAGAAGAGGGAACAACCAAAACCATAAATGTACTGTCTTACATAGGCTTTTATGGCAAAACAAACCAGTTTTCCAGACTAAAACAACTGATTTATAATAGAATCTTGTTACATTTTTATATTATATATATTTCATTCAGAAAGCCAAAAAAAGAAAGCTAGCTATACAATGGGAAGAGGAAAGGTAGAACTGAAGAGAATTGAGAATAAAATAAATAGACAAGTGACTTTTGCAAAGAGAAGAAATGGACTGCTTAAGAAAGCTTATGAACTTTCTGTTCTTTGTGATGCTGAAGTTGCTCTTATCATTTTCTCTACTCGTGGAAAACTCTATGAATTCTGCAGTAGCTCAAGGTATGTTGTCATATATTAATTTACCCTCCAAAACAAATTAGTATATTTTTCTAGTTAGGGCCGCATACTTCACCAGTATAGGCCTCATACGCCTTAATCACATTTTGGATCCTTCCAGACCAATTAATCTTTCATCAATTTTCGATTAACCGTACCAGGTATACTCTCATGTAAGCATTCTGCCAGGTCCGTACTAGAAAAAAAATCGGTCAAGGTCTAAGATGATTCGGTCTTTTTTTATGCTTTTTTATGAAAAAGATGAATCTTGATTTTCTCGAAAATTAGAGATGTCACTGGTAATATATTTCTAATTTTGGCGTATTGATTGAGGGGTGCTTCTTATCGTACCTGTGGTAGGAGAAAAATGTTTTGTGGGTTAAAGTATTTCATATATTTTGCCCTTATTTTGAATGGTCTATACTAAGTAAAATTTGGGAAGAGAAAAGGCTAGCTACCCATTTGTACATGTTGAAACTTTGTCTATATATATTTATTTACCATTATATGGTTATTCTACTTTCCATTTCTTAGAATTTCTGCTACTTTATTTTCCAGTGCTGATTGTTTATTGGTGTGAGATCTGAGTCAGAATTAGATTTATTTTCATGTTAGTGTGTGATACACATAGGTTAAATTAGTACATGAAAGTGGCTAGATGCTGATGAAGCTTTGTTAGAAGGAAAATAAGGTTAAAATTATCTGCTTATAGATGTTCTTTTGGTCATCGTCGTATGTACTATCTTACTCAGACCTAACCTTGTGCGAATATACTGAATATATTATTGTTGATTTAGACGTTCTTTTGGCTGATATTTTCTCTTTAGGTTTCTAGAATGCAATATTACATAAGATCTAGGTTAATTTTCTATCAAGAATCTTGATATATTATCCAAAATTTATCATGAATATATAAGTTTTACGATGACTGTCAACCTACCGTAACTCTCCTCCTTTATTTTTATGTTGGCAAGCTCACGCTGGCTGACGTCAACACCCAGATTGAGGCGTAATTATTATTGTTTACCAAGAATCTTGATGAAACAGATAAAGCGCCAATCTCTGAAAATGAGGGGAGTCTATGATTTTACTTTGGTTATGATTTGATGTGCACCTCCATTTTTCTTTCATTTTATGACACTTTATTTTTCTCAAAGTACAGACACATATAAAGACAAGCGTGACAATCTAATCTACATATAAAGCTGCAAAATTCTTCATATTATAAGCAAATAGAATATCTCAGATTTTATAATCATCACTAATATTGAAATTATAGTAGTCCACTTTACTTTAAGCATGACATAGAGTGAGCTTTGATCAGAATTTATGCATATATTTCGAGCCTTGGTCTAATTAATTAGATTTCCTTTATCTAGTAAGTACTGCTTATTGTTATATGCAGATACACTAATTCATTATATAATTCATTCAGAACTCGTTAATAAATTATATCTGTAATCATATTAACTGAGAACTATCATGCATATATAATAAAGTTGCAGTCTTCCTACGGTAAGAGAGGATTATAAATGGAGTTTATAAAGTTTTATGTAGTGCAAATATTTATATAATTAGTTACAAAAAAAATTACATAATCAAATCACTTATTAGGTATTATAGGTAAATAGCTTGATAACCATTAATTGATATCAATGCAAGGGCCCCTTTCCTTGTGTCAAAGTTATAGATTCATAGCTATGGTTAATTAGTCTTCAAGTTTTTTGTCTCTTCATTATTTTCTTTTAATTCTTTCAGAAGCTTTATCTATTCATTAGTTGTCTAATTCTTTTTTACAGTAGTAAATGATTCTCAATAAAATACTGCATTATTTGACATAGCTTGTTGATTAATAATGTTAGATTTTAGACATTTTATCGTGTATCTTGTAGCATCTTCAGTGTTATAGTCAGATATCGATCTCCACAACAACATCTTTATAAAATAACCATTCATTATAAAACCCATATTTTTTTCGGAATCGATTTTATGTTATGTTATATGATATTAGGAGCGGCTCAAACATATGTGTGGTCTAAAGCCAAAGTTTAAGGTGAGGCCTAAATTTTTTTAAAAAAAATTGTTAAAAGTTTTTTTTAATAATCGATTTCCTCTAATAATTCCTTTTCAATTGATAATACAGCCAATAAATTTAATCTATCTTGAGACGTTGTTAATCTTAGGTAAAATTAACAATTATAATCTTGAAAACTTCTATTCTTTGAGGCAAATGTTATAGAAAAACCCTACTTTTATACGAAAAATACTAAATATTATTTTTTAAATACATATAAATCTATTATTTCTAAAAAAAGGGGCACCCCAAATTCTAAAAAATGGGGCCCCCCAAAATTTGGGTGCCTAAGGCAAAAGCCTTACTTTCTACATTAGAGCCGGCACTGTATGATATATATCCTCTATAACTGCACTTCATGTAGCAACCAAAAAATATCAGAACAAATGAGGTTGTTATAGAGAGCTTTGATTGTTTATAGGATGAAAAGAAGTAATCTAAATTTTTATTAATTGCAAAACAAGACCATAAGTTCTAATTCTTCTGAACTTAGGAAAACCCTGGAAGTCACTGTTTATATGTATATCTCTGATATTACCTTTCTTTTCATTTCAAGTGAACTATATCTCAGAAATAAATACAGAAATATGATCTTAGAGTGCTTCTAATATAGTTAAGAAAACCATACACGCATGTTTATCATTATTTCTTAGGTGTTAAGAAAAGTCAATGATCACTGGTCTGTTTAGAGTCATGGTTGGTGAAATAGATAATTTTCAGATATAGTAATCAAACAAAAGGGAAACATGAACATTTATAACCATTGGTGATTATTTTGCACAGATTATTGACTTTCGAATTGATCGTGACTAATAGGTCGAAAATTGCTCTAAGCGATATGTAACTCTCTTACAACAACAATAATCTAGTAGAGTCCCACAACTGGAGTTTGGGAAGATAGTGTGTACGTAGGCCTTAATCCTACCCTTGAGAGGTAGAGAGGCTAATTCCGATAGACTCACGGCTCAAGAAGATGCAAAGCAACATAGTGTAATAACATTAATCTAAGAACCGGAAAAATAAATGAGAAGTAGTAGTAGCAACAAGCAGTAACAACCGCAAGATATTAATAAACCAATGCGGAAGATAGTAGGAAAGCATCATGTAATACTAGCAATCTAAGAACAAGAAACTATAAGACTAACCCTAAAAATTCCGGTATGGAATAGAAAAACGCTTGACTACCTACTAACCTTCTAACCTAATTTTCGACCTTCACACCCTCCTATCAAGAACCATGTCCTCGTTAACTTGAAGATACGTTATGTCCTACCTGATCACCTCTCCCCAATGCTTCTTTGGTCACTCTCTACCTCTTCTCATACCCAGCAAAACCAATCGCTCACACCTCCTTTCTGGGGCACCTAACTATCTCCCTTTCACATGTCCCAACTATCTAAGTCTCACTTCCCGCATCTCGTCCTTTATGGGGATCACGCCCACCTTTACCCAAATATCTTCATTCCTAATCTTATTCAACCTGGTATGCTAGCTCATATATCTCAACATTTTCATTTCTGCTACTTTCATCTTCTGGATATGGGAGTTCTTGACTGGCTAGCACTCTGCCCCATACAACATAGTTGGTCTAACCAGCACCTGTAGAACTTATCTTTAAATTTTGATGGCACATTCTTGTCAACACAAGACGCCAGATGCTAACCTCTTTTTCATCTACCCCTCCCTTACACGATGTGTGACATCCTCGTCAATCTCTCTATATCCTTGGATAATAGACCCAAGAGACTTGTAATTTTCTCTCTTAGGGATGACTTGTAAATCAAGTCTCGCCACACCCTCTATTAAGTCATTGAACTTGCACTCCAAGTATTCTATCTTAGTCATGCTCATTTGAAATCTTTAGACTCTAGGGTTTGTCCCCAAACCTCCAACTTGTCTTTAACACCGTCTTGCGTCTCATTAGTCAATAGTATATCATCTGCAAATAATATACACCATGACACCTCTCCTTAAATATGGTGCGTCGGTGCGTCCATCGCCAAGGCAAATAAAAACTATGCAAATCCTTCTTTCTTTCCCTGTACTATTCCACTAACCTCCTGAGAAGATGGATGACTTCCATAGTCTAATGTTCTGGCATGAATCCAAACCGGTTCTCGTATATAGACATAGTCCTCCTTACCCTCACTTTCACCACCCTCTCCCAAAATTTCATAGTATTACTAAGCAAATTAATACCCCTATATTTGTTATAATTTTGGATATCACTTTTGTTCTTGTACAACGGAATCGTTGTACTCCATTTTTATTGTTCGGGCATATTCTTCATCTTAAAAATAATTTTAGGTAACCCAGTCATCCATTCTAAGCCTGCTCTACCCACGTGCCTCTAAAATTCCACAAGAATTTCATCAGCCCCAATCGCACCCACGTGCCTCTAAAATTCCACGAGAATTTCATCAGCCCCATCGCACCCACGTGCCTCTAAAATTCCACGAAAATTTCATCAGCCCCAATCGCTCTACCCCTGCTTATCTTACACATAGCCCCCACGACTTCCTCAATATTTATGCGCTGACAATACCTAAAATCACGATGACCCTCGGAGTGCTCCAAATCACCCAGCACAATGTTCTTGTCCCTCTCGTCATTCATGAGTTTATGGAAGTAAGTCAGCCATCTTCACTTAGTCTGTGAATCTTTCATAAAAACTCTGCCTTCCTCGTGTTTGATGCGCCTCACCTGATCCAAATCACGAGCCTTCCTTTCTCTTACCTTGGCTAGCCTAAATAGCTTCTTGTCCCCACCTTTGTCCCTCAGTTCTTCATACAGACAACTAAATGCTGCAGTCTTGGACTCTATGACCGCTAACTCCACCTCCTTCTTAGCTTCTTAAACTCTTCTCTATTCGTCCTTTTCTCCTCCTTGTATGTGCTCTCCACTAATTTCAAATATGCCGTTTTCTTTGCTTCCAGTTTTCCTTGGACCTCTTCATTCCACCACCAGTTCACTTTATGACCGCCGGAGTAACTCTTCGAGACCCATAACAGTTCTCTCGCAACCTCCCTAATGCAGTTCGCTGTCAATGTCCACATACCACTCGCGTCCCGCCACTCTTCCAAGCCCCTATAGCCAGCAACTTCTTACCTAACTCATGAGCTTTGTCCTTAGGAGTTGAAATGAAAGTAGGAGAAATGAGGATGTTGAGAGGTATGTTACTCTCTTAATTAACAACAATAACCAAGATGTGGTTGATATGTAAGTAACAACCCTAATTTATCCAAGATCAAGTAAGGCACGTGTAGAAATAACAGGTAACAAACATATGCCTAACATGTCCTAGTTCTCTTGGTCAAAAACATTAATGAAGTAAATAAAACATTAGATGATGAATGTTTAATTAAGTAAATGAAAGTATACTCACTCAAACATAAATTTTTGGATAAGATGACTACACACTTCTAAATTGGCAAGGAAACATATAGTTGGAAATTTTTTGTGCGGATAAATACTGAGACATCTACATACATACCGCTACTATATATAATAGGTGAAGAAGATATATTTAGGATAAAACTTACAACCATCTGAAGTTTACATCAAACTAATGTATGCTAAGACATTGATAATTCGTTGTAAACACCGGGTGCATGTAAAGTTTTGCCGTTGTATACTATAAACCCTGTACATAGGGTATCTATCCATCAACCATTGAGTATTTGCCTATTCCTATGTCCATTTTGTGGTATTTAATATCTGGTTACAGTTTAGGTAATTAAAGTGAGATCAGTAAAGAAGATTGCCAAAGCTTAAAATTACTGATAAGCTGGGGATTTGTGAGGAGAGTGGTAGCCGGAAGAGAGAATTTTAGCTGCAGATGGCACTGAAGAGAACGTGAATATTGAAGTCAAAATATTTCTAAATAAGTACATGATATTCTTTTTGAGACGGACTAAAAAGAAAAGTATGACACATAAATTGTAACCGGGGAAGTACTATATCGTATCATCTAATACACATAATCACCCTACAAGACTAGCGCTCTAAAAGGTGAAACTTTCAGTAGTACCTATCTTAGTAGGAGCTTTTAGTCTTTTGATTATAGTAGGAATCGCGAGAGAGCATAATGCATACCCCGAGATACCATAGTTTTTTGTTAGTCTATTTATAGTTGCGACTGTTGTTATAATGTACATCTGATTCAATGTCTTATTGTTCTGTAACTTGCCTTTCTAGTATGTCCAAGACAGTGGAGAAATACCACAAATATAATTATGCTGCAGTGGAAGGAAGCCAACCTTCAACAGATTCACAGGTTCGTTCTTCTTCCTCGAGCATGATAATTGCTCAAATTAAAGTTTGTTGAAAATATTGGGAATAGTTCAGTTTTTCACCTGAAAATAGTTAGTAAAAGTTAATGTTGATTACTAACTTTGAGCAAATTGATTTGCTTGCTATGCTTTTGTGAAAACAGAACACGTACCAAGAGTATTTGAAGCTTAAAACAAGAGTGGAAGTGTTACAACAATCTCAAAGGTGAGGAAAAAACTGAGTAGACCAAAACTAGATGTAATTTCTAACTCCAGAGCATTGTATTCCCTCTATTTAAAAGAAAGACGGTTGGTGTACTAAGCTCCTGGTATATGTGGGGTCCGAAAAAGTTCGGACCATATTTGATCTATTGTACGAAACTTTATTTTGGATTTCTTCAAGAGGCTATTCGCATTTCTTGAACCCAAGACCTAGCTCGTGGTCACAGTACTGTAGCAACTATGGTGCATTCTCCATATATTTGTTTTGATCATTTTTCGTAATATATGACCGTTTAACTTTTTCATATTCGTTAGACATATTCTTGGAGAAGATTTGGGACAATTGAACACAAAAGATCTGGAACAGCTTGAACGTCAAGTGGATTCATCATTAAGGCAAATAAGGTCAACAAGGGTACGTACTATGTACTTCAAATGGTATTTACAAACTATATTTTTGGCTCTTATTCATGTTGCAAAACAAGGGTACCCTGCAGTTTCGTCAAAAAATTACACTATATATATAGGTCAAATATTAGATTTTAGATGCATATAACGTATATTGAACACCCTTTGTCGGGGAATTTATTTTTCTTCTTTCAAGTTTGAACACCCTTGGAGAAATTTGTGGCTTCGCCACTGGTACCCTGATATTACTATATTTAAAATGGAAGAATAGCTGTTTAATTATCCAATTATAAGATCTTAAGGTCCCTTTTTAAACTTGTTTTCAGACACAACACATGATTGATGAACTTACTGAACTTCAACAAAAGGTACATATAGTATACTCATATCTAAGAAATCAAGATGATATTATTATTTGCTCAACTGTGTAGGAAATATGACATTTCCTATTTGCTTCTTGTACAGGAAGAATCTCTTACTGAAATGAATAAATCTTTGAGGATGAAGGTAACAATATAATACTGACTAAACTTTTAGTTCTCGTTTGGCCATAGATTTTGGCTTCATTTTTTTGAAAAATATTTGAAAACATTGTTTGTTTATGAAATATGATCATGTTTTGAGATAAAAGATAACAACGAGGACTTTTATGGACCGAAAGGTTAACGACAGTAAATGTAAGACAAATCGCATAAAAAAGAGGCTGATCACATGAGGTTGTTTCCACGGCTTGAACCCTGACCACCTGATCACATGATAACAACTTTACCAGTTATGCCAAGGCTCCCCGTGCAAGGCACAAAAAAAAATGTGGTAGAAAGATAACTTCTTCTTTTTAACTACATTGGTTTGTCTATTGAACTTCTAATTGCAGTTGGAAGAACTTGGTGTTGCCCTTCAAACATCATGGCAATATGAGGGGCAAAGTTTACAGTGTAGACAGCAGCAGCCTGATGGATTCTTTCACCCTGTGGATTGCAATAATACAATGCCTATCAGGTCGTCTTGAGAAACTTCTATATATATATATATATATATATATATATATATATATATATATATATATATATATATATATATATGCATACACACATCCACAATCTCTCTTTTTTCTAATCTCATAGACGTATGAACTCTTTTTTTCCAATTCATGTGACATAAACTCGGCACAGGCGTAATTTAACAAAGAAATGAAAGCTTTTGAAACTTATAATCTTAAAATATCATAACATTTAAGTGGTTGTCAACACCAATTGTTATTCTTTTTTTGATGGACTAATAAGAAAATATTATCACATGTAATTAACTAGAACACTAGAAATATATACTAGGGATGGCAAACGAGGAAGGGTGATGGAGAAGGTGAAATCTTAACCGCAAAAGTTTTAATTTGCCCCACTTAGATGTTTCTTTGTTCTTAACCCGCATGCTCCGTTTAAGTTCTCTTTTTTTTCTTTTTTTTTTTTTTTAACGTCCGACATTTCAAGAAATGGATTCAAGAAATTGGTCTAAAATATTAAAACCTGTAAATTTTTATTTAATCCGCCCTATGCCATGTAGGTGATGTCTATGTTATGTAATGGCGGTGCATAAGGACACATCGGTTGAAGTAGATTATTCTTGTGATTAATCAAAACCCTTTCCCAAACTGTACAAGCTTCTTCCAAAGCATACGGCTTGCATTTGATTTTAAAAAAATATTTAATTAGCACACCCCACCCTATTGCAATCTCTAGTAGTTGATAATTTGAGTTTCAGAGCATTGCTTATATTCTGGATTCGCCTCTTATTTTATAAGCCAAATTTATCCGGTTACAGGTACAATACTGTGCTGCCAGAAGATGCCGAACCATCAACACAGCGTGCTACTGAAGTTGTACCTGGATATCAGTTTGATATTGGAGGGACCCGATTATAGCATAAAGGATTGGGAAACAAAGTTGATGAATGTTAGAGGAAAAAAAAATTAATAAAATGATGCATATCTCTCTTACTCAGAAATAGACTTTCACTATTACTGCTTGAAATATTTACTTAGCGAACTCTTGATTATATATATGCAGAACAGTTTGACATAAAATTAAATGGTTATCCTGTTATATGTTTGTTATTTTCTTATCCCGACCCCTACGAGTGAGCAGAAAAGGGAGGAGGAAATCTATCTTACTCTTCCTTGGTCTCTTCCACGGATCGGTGGATATGAAATAGAATGAATTCAATGACAAAGTCGCCGGTATACTGTGATCCAGATCCAGGAAGGGCCAGACATAAATCGGAAAGAGTCACTTTCCTCATAGGAGAAAGGGTGCGCGCTAAAGCTAGAGCAGCTCTTTTTCGCGATATAGGTGTAATTTAATTAATTCAGAGGTCGACATCAGGTATTGTCCTTCTTCTGCTTTATGTGGATAACATTGCTTTCTCTAGTAATGACTTAGCTTCGATAAATGAGCTAGCCTAGTAAGTAGTTGTCTATTTCGCGTGCCCTTCCTGTACTGACTTATACTACGCCTTTCGTGCGGGTCGGAACTTACCCGACAAGGAATTTCGCTACCTTAGGACCGTTATAGTTACGGCCGCCGTTCACCGGGGCTTCGGTCGCCGGCTCCCCTGTCATCAGGTCACCAACTTCCTTGACCTTCCGGCACTGGTTCATGGTTTCTCTTGGCTATATGGTTTATCATGGTTTATATTTTTCTATCTCTTAAAAAAAGGACAATAGATTTATCATAATTGATTTTACTTTTTACGAAAAGAAAATATTTTTCTTTCGTATTTGGCTAGTCCTTTTTTTTGGAGGAAAAGATTTTGGACTTCTATAAATTGAGGGTCGTTCCTTCTTATTTAGTAGCACCCACAATATTGGCTAGTCCGTAGGAACTACATTAATGTAGTCGCTGTTGATACCCAATTTTTCCCTCATATATTTAAAATGCATATATACTTTCAAAATAGTGCATGGGCGTCAACCAGTATTTTTCCATAATCTTCTGCAATTTAAAAGGATTTTAATTGATTTATTCCACCATTTTATTATCTAAATAATTACTAATTGCATCACAAATAATTTTATAATAATTTTGTTACTTAATTCTATCATTTATATTTATAATTAAGCTTTGATTATTTTATACATAATTATATTTACATCTGTAGGTTATAATTGCAATAATAGCCCATGTATGCATAATTTCTTTATTTGTACACGAAAATGACTCTTTATATTTTTATAATATTAAGTAATTATTTTAAATTATTTTTCATACATAAATAACACTTTTCATCATTTATTAACTATTTTTATTAATTATATTATTAAATTAAATGGGTATTAAAACTATGGCCTCTTTTAATTTGATTTTCGGACATTAGCCCAATAACTACCCCAGCCCAATACTGTAACCTAACCCAATACCCATAACCCAAACCCAATAACCCAATTGTTATAACCCGCACCAACTCCAGATTTAATCCTGGCCGTTGATCTCAGAAGATCAATGGTCCAGAAAATCCTTCCATTTTTAATTAACCAAACGACCTAAACCCTACCCATTTCCCAAATCTGCCGCCTTTGAGACCCCTTCCCTCCTCTCATCTCTTTCACCTTCCTTCTAACCCTAGCCCGCCGTCACTGAAACCCCTTTGATTCATGGGTTCTTTCTTCAACCTCAGGCCTTATCCGGCCTCATATCTCTACTGGTTGTTTGATTTTCATGATACTTGATGGAATCTCAAAGAGATTCGAACGAGATTTGGTTCAAATCTCCCATTTTCTCGATTAATCTGTCTGTGTTCGCTCATACGTCTGTGAGTAATAATATCTTCGTGTTTATGGCTTCAAATCTGTGTGATCTGTGTTCCCTGTGCTTATGTGGTTAGTTTATTTCAAACCACAGCATGTTTATGTGTGATCTATGATTCCTGTTTACTCCTTTCTCAACTGGCATGTTTCAGTTCGTGTTATCTTATTCTGTCTTATAGTTTATTTCGATCTCAGCATGTTTTTCTGTTACTGCTTTCTCAACTGGCATGTTTTAGTCTCTGTTACCCTATTCAATCCTATGTGCTTATTAGTTTGTGATTTCAACGTGCTTCTCTTTGCTATATGCACATATGATTTCACCTAGTGACAAGATTAATTAGGTTATGAAACACTGTATAATCTGTTGTATGTTCCCTGTTCTGCAAACATGTAATATGTTGCAAACTCTGTCTATTAGTTCAAATATCCTGGCTCTTTTGTGATTGCTTAAATGCTAGTACAGTGTCCATGTCTGAATCAATGCCAATCTGTTTGAACTATTTACTAAATAGGGATTCTGTTTGTTCTAGGTGAAATTCTGTTTGCAGTCCTATAATTTGAATCTGTTTGCTCCTAAAAATCAAACTGTTTTCTAAAACTGTCCCCTACCCCCCTATGTACTAGTTTTCAAACATCAACTCTTAGTTACCTAGGTTCCTACCACCCCCAGTGTGAGCACTGCCTAGGGTCCTTGAGACTCCTCCGAACTCTGACACATTGGGGATAGTCTTTCAATCTCTTACAAACTGTTTTTCTAAGTAAGGTTCTGGTGTGAGCATTGCCCGGGGTCTCTGAGGCCCTTGGGAACTTTGACACACCAGAAGCCCAATTTTGTGTATCATGGATGGACCACCTGTATACTTCAGACTTGCTTTGCTTGAAAGCCTGGTTTCCAGGTTAATATTGGGACTGCTAAGGCTCCCTATAGTGTAATGAATCTAGCTATGTAATTTATTCATTCTGCGCTGTAATAATCTCTGTAATAAACAGATCTGGGGTTTATTAGTAAAAGTTGGGGGGGGGGGGGTTTCCTATATCTTTGTTTGAAACTCGGGTAGAAATCCTACCCATAGGTTTATTGGTGATTATGTGAATGTTACTACTTGTTTAGAGATCATGCCTATAGGGATTTCTGATTGCTTTGTTCTGTATTTCACTCGCATGCTAGAAATCCTGTTTATAGGCCCCTTGCATTAGAAATCCTGTCCATAGGATCTGATGTTCTAAACGTCAATACCACACAAGAGGGGGGGGGGGGGTGATTTGTGTGGTACCCAATTTTCGCTCTAGAAGAACTTGGTTCTTCTAGGTGTACTAACTACTACTATTTGCGGAATAATAAGTACATAAAATAAAGAACACATAGATTTTTATGTGGAAAACACCTGGCTAAAAAGGTGAAAAAACCACGACCTACTACTCAGTAGGATTTTCCCAAACTTCCACTAAAATCACTGAGCCAAAACAACATTTACAAAACTCTTTGTAAATCTAAGGATTAACTCTAATCCCGTTGTGGCACACAGCCTCAACTGTTGCGACAACTTCAAGTTAGCTTATAACTTGAACACTCTAGGTACCTAATACAATTGCTTCTATGAAAGCTGAAAGGTACAATTTTAAACCACCTACTACAATTGAACTAGAATAAAAGAAATACACAATGGAACTGATTCTTCTATCTCATTCAAGTAGCTTCAGGAGTGCAAACTCAAATCTCACATAAATTGCTTGCAAAATCGCCTTGCTCTTTTGCTCCTCAATTTTGTTTAACTTCTGCGTATGTGCAATACCTGTAAAAGAGAACAATCACTGTCTTTTAATAGGCTAGTAATCAGAGTTTGGTTGGGACTCAATTGCTGATCTTCTATCGTCATTGAGTCCTTGAAGATCTCAAACTCCAACACTATCTTTATCCGGATTGTGTTCTCTTCATATAAGGAGACTTTCTCCCCTTATCTAATATGCAACCTTTTCGATCAGATCAGGAGATATTGCTGCGTGATCAGTAGGACTAATCTCCTTCCCGTGCATCTCACATGTATGGGTTGATCATGACTGTGCTTCACACGATGGACCTGGTCCATGACTGAGTTCATTTGTCATTCTTCAAAACTTCACCTGTTCTTGGGCCAACAGGATCCATGCACATTTTTAACTTACATGCATTAGTGACCATGTCTATAGGATTCTATCTGTTTGAATAATAACCTTTCCTAGCAACGTGCTTAAAATTCTGCCCACGTGTGATTAATAGATATCATGCCTATAGGAGGTACAAAATCAGTTTCAAACCTAGAAATCATGTCTATTGGATTTAAACTAATAGATATCGTGCCTATAGGGTGAAATCTTATAGAGGTTTAAATCAAGTCAACACTTAGAAATCCTGCCTATAGTGGTTTAAACTAATTAGAAAGCATGCCTATAGGATCTAAAAGGGATAAAACCTGTATTTATGAGTTAAAATCAGTAATTCACTTACAAATCACGTTATAGGTTGTAGATATCATGCCTATAGAGTTCTGTTAATCAGTTTTGAGTTCGATTAATTCTGGTTATCACTTAGGTAAATCCATAGGGGTTACCAATGATTCTGGGCCTAAAATTGTGATATCTTACTACATGAAAATGCCCAGATTCAAGGTTTTAATAAAATCAGTAGGCATATTGAGATGGCCGCCTTAATAAACTACTATCTTGCATTCTACTTTTGCTCATCTAGATATCCTGCCTATAGGATCCTAAATTAACGAAATCTGTTGATTTAACTGCGTGCATTTGTTGTCTACTTGTGGAGGTTTATATGAGCCCTTATTTGCTCCTTACATGATAGTCCTATTTGAATTTTGTTTGTCGCCTAGCTTTTCTTATTTAAGCAACATAGGTCAGTCTAGAACCACCCTAAATAGAGGTCCTAAATACCTCCAGGACCGTAGGAAAGGGACGGGTAGTGCACGCATAAGGCACGAGTTAGAAGCTACTAGAACGCTTAGGTAACAACTGAAAGATAGTAATTGGGTAGTAAAGGAAATGATAGCCCATGCGCTAATGCTATGAGTAAAACCCCGACTTATGGGAGTTGCAAAGCATTGCATGGAATGATCCTATAGGCTAAAAAAACTTAGGACCACCCCCTATACACCTGTGTAAAAATAAGTTGAATATTGTATCTGTCCCAATATGGTTCTTCCCTTTTAAGACTAATTCGCTTAATTTATGTTCGGTTGGGACCCACTGTTGTGGACCTCGAGGGGTGCCTAACC